TTCAGACACAATGACATAGGCCCTGAAGTCGTAAGAGCAAGTAGGGTGAAGTCAAGAGCCAAGCTGCCACATAAACAGAAAAAGCCACAAGTGGCGCTGTGGCTCAAGTGGTAGAGTGCTAGCGTTGAGCTGAAGAGCTGAGGGACAGTGCCCAAGCCAAGAGATCAGGCCTCACAACCGACCAAAAAAAAAAAAAAAGCCAAGTTGTGTTAGAGCAACGGCACGCACGGTGTGGCTGCATCGCCGCCACGTATCCCAGTGGTGGTCCCAGCTCCTTTCCTTCCTCTCCTGCCCCACCCCAACTGCTCCTAGGCTGCCTCTGCACTACAGATGTCATCGATGGGGGCCATCTGTGCTTTCTAATCATGGGGACAGGTACAGACAGCACTAGCCCTTCCCTGTGCCTTCCTGCTTTAGAGAAAGATGAACTGCCTGGAGCTGTGGCAGGCAGGAGACAGCCATGAAGACAAAGATCAGGCAGCATAGGATGCTGAAGGCAAGAGAAAGCTGGCCAGCCCCAAAGCACTGCTGAAGTAAATCATTTGCCTTCGAGACCCTATAGTGAAAAGGGCAGGCTGTTATTTGTTTAAAAACCAATTGTGAGCTTGCGATGGCTTCCAGCTGGACTTTCCAAATGTGAAGGCTCAGGACCCGAGAGGGGCGGCTACTGCACGCCCTTCCCGAGGCTACCGCCCGAGGTGCTCTGACAGAGCACCAGGACGAGGAAAGCACAGCTGTGCGTCTGGAGAAGTGGGAGGCCCCTATGGGGACAACTCTCAGCAGGAGCAGCGGCAGAGGCGGGCGCCAAGGGACCTCAGGGAGGGAAGGACAATGCTGAGATCTGGCGCTATCCTTGTAAACTGGAGATGGAGGAAGTGTTACAAACACGTAATTTAGTAAGAAAAGAGGCAAACTCCAGAATAGACAAGAAAAACAGAAGTAAAAACACTCAATGCGATAACAAGGCTCATGTTTGTCTCTTTAGACAATCTCCACACATGCGCAGAAGACTATGATGGTCAGAGGCAGGAAATAATTACAAACGCCTAAGTGCAGGTGACAGAAGCTGGAAAGACGAGTGGCAACAGAAACACACGGAGCGGAGCGCAGAGCACGGCACTTCACTGCTGCTGAGACCGGAAATAAACAGCAAGGACAACTCGAAGTACGCAAGAGGCTACAAAGCACCGAGCAAACACCGCGCGACAACAGCAGTGGTGAACTGGAGGGGAGCCGGCCCCTCCGAAGAGGCCTTCAGAGCCACTATCAGGTACAAATAACATCAATTGAAGCCACCAAGTAAGCAGGCCTCTTCACTGTCAAAATCTACCTGACTCCCCTGCCTCCTCTCCCCCACAGTCTCTGTAGCTCAGACAGAACTCATGATCACCCTACTTCAGCTTCCCAAGTGCGGTCAAAACAACAGGCCTGATTTCTCATTTAAGGAAAAGTCACTAATGGCAGTTCTGCTTTTTGCTTGTGTCTTAGTAGAAAGCCCACAGCTAACCTAAATAAATGTATCAAGAAAGAGCAGCAGCTACATTTTACCTCCAGATCCTGAGGAATGCATTTGAAGATCACCTTTGGTGCCAACTCCATGCTAGGAAGGCTAAGGCCAAGAACTGTTTCATTAACTAAAAGCCAGCCTTCCACAAAGGATTTTGTAAACCCTGGCATAAAATACTTTGATAAAAACAAAAATACTTATTTTAAAGCCAGGAGCTGGTGGCTCACGCCTGTAATCCTAAGTATTCAGGTGGCTGAGATCTGAGGATTCCAGTTCAAAGCAGGAACTGTGAGACTCTTAGCTCCAGTTAACCACCAAAAAGCCAGAAGTGGAGTTGTGGCTCAAGTGGTACAACACTAGCCTTAAGCACAAAAGCTCAGGAACAGTGCCCAGACCCTGAGTTCAAGCCCCAGGACCAGGACAAAACAAACAAACAAAAAAAACCCTAAAATCTAAAAACCTATTTTAGAAAAGAACACTGGGGGTTGGAGGGCCTGGCTCAAGTGATAGAGTGCTTTCCTAGCAAGCATGAAGCTCTGGACTCAATCCTCTCATACCTAGGGAAGGAGAGCAGACAGGAGGATGGACAAACACACAGACATTGGAAAAAAAGAAACTTGCAGTTTTTCTTTAATTTTCAAATTATAACAAAATGAATATAGGAAGATTTTGGAGTAACAGATGTGTGTTTTCTCTGGCTGTGATGTGCAGTGTTTATGCTGTGCTTTTATGAAGCTGTCTTCCACTTGCACCTGCAGTATTTCCATGAGAAGACACGCAGAGCAAGTGGACCTGATGGTCCCAGGACAGCACTGGGCCACTAACAATATGAAAGCTGAACACCAGCTTTTAATGTACATCACCTGTGTTTACGCTCATGCTTACTCTCTGGAGGCCGTTTGGTCCCATAAGCTGCTTTCTTGCATTACTTTGAATCAACCCCTTTTTCGCTACTGCTGTATTCCCCAATTCTCAGGCCACGGGTCAGACGGGAAGCACAGGGATGTTTGCTTCCCTACCCTAGTGCAAACCCAAAGAACAACAGCAAGGTGACCAGACACAAACCACTTGCCTCCCTATTTGGATCAGTTCACATGGTACACAATAAAGGATATTAAAATATAATATATATACACGTGCATATATATATATATATGCATACACACACACACACACACACACACACACACACGCACGCACATATACACATACAAAAAAGAATGATGAACACTGGTGGGTGACATCTGTAAACCTAGTTACTCAGGAGGCTGAGATCGCAGTACAAAGCCAGCCTAGGCAATAAAGTCCATGAGACTCTTATCTCCAATAAACTACTCAGAAAAAGCCAGAAGTACCATTTTGGCTCAAGAGCAAAAATGCTCAGGGACAATGCTATCACAAAAAAAAAAAATAATTGATTAATTAATTAGTTAATGCTGGCCACTGGTGGCTCATACAAGCCTAGCTACTCAGGAGGCTAAAATCTGAGGATCTCAGTTCAAAGACAGCCAGGGCAGGAAAGTCCATGAGACTCTTACCTCCAATAAAATAACTCAGAAAAGGCCGGAAGTGGCACTGTGGCTCAAGTGGTAGAGTGCTAGCCTTGAGCACAAAAAGGCTTAGGGAATGTGTCCGGGCTCTGAATTCAAGCCCCAGGACCACCAAGGAAGAAGAAAGAAAAGGCAAACTAAAAGGAGGAAATGAACTTTTTTTGTAGTTGTTTAAAGAACAAACCTAACATCCCACAGAAGTGATGTTTCTACAGCGGAGAATAAAATGACTAAAATGAACACTACAATATTAGCTAAGAGCCAATTTTATCATTTTAATTTCCGCTGTTGATGCAAGAGCCTAAGTGAACAATGGCCAATAACAGCGAGTGAGTGGAGAAACACAGGGCTGATCTACATTGTAATTAGAAAAGGAAGAAGATAAAACCAGCCCTAACTATGAAACCTACGGTGGAGCGCACACGGCCTTCTATGGGCCACCCGGGCTAACGCTGCTCCACCTTATCTACCTCATGAGGAAGGAGCCAGTTAAATGTTTTTCCCCTCAAAATAAAAAAGATGCATGTAAATGTTTTTGTTGTTGTTGTTGTTATTGTTGTTGCACTTAATGAAATGAATGGTGTCTTAGGCTGATTAATCCTTGGCAATATATAGCAAACACACGCGTTCCTGACAGAGCAGATGCCCAAGCACTGGAAGAAAATGGGGACTGTGACTCATGAGCTGGAAAAGCCTGCCTTCTACGAGAAGGGATGAGGGATGAGAGTGTGTCTCCAAACCAGCTCAGTTCCTCTGAGCTGATGCCGTGTCTTTCCCCGCACCCAAATCAGGCCAATTCTTTGACCTATTACAAACAAAATTCTTTTTGCAATCTTCTCCGCTTTTTTGCGAAGAAACACAAAAGACCGTAGTGCTTTGGGTTTGTAGACAGCCCCAGAGATGCCTGAGGGGAAAGTGAACATCTGCTAATCTGAAACTTGATCTTTCCCTTCTCGAACTGAGCAGGCAAGACAAACAGAAGCAAGCAAACAAACTACAGCATGTGCTTCCATTTTCAAGGATAAGGGTTTAAATTTATCAGTCACTCTTATTCAGTGTTCCAAGGAAGGGCTTAAATTACACACATAAAATACTAAACTGTAGACATGTTAACTTTAACTTCTACCAAATAGAATTTCAAATTTTGTTGCTGACTCTTTCAGCATTATCCTCTGATGAAAGGTGAAAAACATAACAAACACATTAAAATTGAACAGGCCCAAAAAGGCCTCAGGAAACATACTGAGGACCATTCTTGGTTCTTGGATTGAGACTTTCCTGCATTGCAACCAATTGGAATTCATGACCCCCCGGAGGCTACAGAGTATTTTATACTGACAATCCTTTGCAGGCCACAGGATGGAGGCCCCTTAATTGAAACCGCCTCTTCGATTTCTCTTTAGAATTTGCCATTTAATTCGTGTCGAATATTAATTAAAACAACCAAGCAAAATGCTACTTCATTATCCAAGCACCACATGGGCCTTCCAGGTCCTTTCCAGGGTCTAACCAGTGGCCGTTGCCTTGGTTTCTACCATTTGTTTGGTGGTTTGGGTTATAAAACACTACAGAAAAAAAAAAAAAAAAAGAAATTAGAGCAGTAACGAAGACGCTAGTGGAAATGCAGTGTATGGAATTGAAGAAATGACTCCATTTGCCCTCACGTAAATAGGTCTGCATTACTTTAACACTACCTTAGAGGAAGAGACGGCGGAAGCACAGATCTACTCTGTTAGCGTTGTTATTGCTTAGTGTTCAGACCGCAAACGACAGAAGTAAAAAGGGAGGTAGAACAGGGCCACTGGCAGAACGGAGATCCTCCCATTCTCACAAAATCACCTCAGCCCCAACACCTGGAGAACCTTCAAAGAAGGTCTTCCTGTAGACCCTCACCCCAAGGAAAACAAAGAACAGCACCTCCCCTGGGCTGCCCCGCGCCTCACCTCTAGCTCCTGCTCCCTCTGCAGTGCGAACTGCTTGAAGGACTTGACAATCAGGCCGGCATTGGAGCAGTCGTAGACGAAGATGGAAGGACTGCCCATCCACGTCTGCAGGTCATATATGGACAGAGGGATGTACTGAGTGTAGTTCTGAAAAACAAACAAGGGTCAGGTCACACACACGCATCTCAAGGCTTCAAACTGGGACCAGCACCTGCACCTGCACCTAGCAGACGGGGCCTATGGCGCCAGGACAGACGTTCGCCACACTAGGCTTTTACACATCGACTTGTGCAGCATCTTATCAGGCAGTGCTGAGGGCCAGACGGCTGTCCGGTGGACGTCTGAAGCCCCAGAGCTGCCCTCACAGCAACTAAGTCCATGCCCTCTGCAGCTGTCCCTCCTCACACCCCACTGGGCCAGGTGTCAACTGTAAGTGGGTGCTATTCACACCTCCCGCCCCTCTGCTGCCCCCTTCCCCGCTTCACTTCCATAGGACACGAGCTCTGAGTGGTGGGCAGGCTCTAGGATTCGCGTGCTTTCCACAGCTGCCCATTCTCTAGGTAGCTTTTAAAATTCGCCCTGAAGGGACACTGAGGATTTGGCCATATACACTTTTTAAGTTTATAAAAATAATGTATTTTCACTGACCAAGTGGGACTCCTTCCTGGACGCACGCACTTTGTTTTCCTGCAGGTCCTGTGACTGTGGGCAGTGCAGAGAACACCATCATCTCGAGAGAGGCCCTTCGGACCCCCCTCCCTGCCAACATCTAAAACCACTCTTCACAGAATACCTTCACTTCCTGCCCTGTCCTCAGAAGTCAGCAGTGTAAGTGGAGGCAAAGGGAGTTGGCTTCCAAGTGGCTGAGCCACAAGTACCACCTCCGGGGTTGTGTCTGGGTTGTTTACAATGAGACCAAGCGAGGCCTGGAGAACCATGGTGTCAAGGTGGCCAGCAGAAGCCTCCCTAAGGTGGACCACAACGTGTCCGGCACAAGTCACTGCCCAGACAGAATGAAGCACTGAGCCACCAGCAGAGAAGAAGGCAGCCGTCGCCGCCGGCATGGCCCAGGACCGCGCTGCCACGGGAAGCTGTGAGGCCTCACCTAGTGAGCTGCTCACAGTCATGTTCTGTGAGAGAACACCTGGAAATACACCCTGTAAATAAACTCTCCTCGAAGGGTTCTGGAGATGCCAATTCTGCCTAGACGAATCTATACAGGCAACACAAGCCCAATCAAAATGTCCACAGGGTTTTTCCTTTAATGGATTTGACAAGCGGATTCTAAAGTGAACGCAAAAGAGAAATGTTCAAGATTAGAGAAAGATTTTTAATAAAGAATAATGGGTAGTGATTCGCACTACCAGACATTAACTACGCTATAAATTTATGGTAATTACAAATTGGTATTAGTGAGGGCGAGACAAACAAATCAACAGAAGAGAAAGCCCAGAAATAGACCCACATACATAACTGTAATGAGAAGAGGAGGGTTAACAGCTCAGAACTCGATGCCACAAAATGTAGCTAACCATTTGATATTGTCAACTCAGGTTCTGCACACACACAAAAACAGAGTAGATTAAAAGGCAAACTGAAAAGCAGAATAGTTTTATTTTATTGTAAGGAAAGCCTTCTTAGGTCACAAACCTAGGAATCCTAAAGAAGCAGACCAACAGGTCTGTTTTCATCCAACAAACTAAAAAGAAAGACAAAGAATATGACGGAGCTGTACTGAGCAAGGCACTCACTCAGTGTTGGTGGGAATAGACACGAAGGAAACCTACTTTAGAAAAGTCTGGCCGAACTGACCAATATCCAACCTGTGCATTCATTTTGACTTCCCCAGTGTCCGTCCCTAGAAACGCGGGTATCTGCACCCAGAGAGCGGTGTCCTGCCAGGTGCGATGGGCAGGTCACGTGGCAGACGCTGCCGCTCTGCCATCGGGCCTCTCACTCCTAGTTACCAGACCAGCGCCAGGAAGCTGTCTCCTCGGCAGCCCCGTCTGCTCTTGCAGCCAAGGTGTGACCAACACAGTGACTGAAACGCCCAAATGCTAAGTGCTGCCCTCAACACCCCAACGGCACGGGGAGGAGTCTGGCCACGCAGAGAACAGCAGCCAGGCGATGGCAGAGCTGCAGGATGGGAGCAGGCTGAGGCCCAAATGGCTGAACCTGTAGCCTGTCCTGATCCTAACAGAGCCCACACCGAAGAATCAAAGGCACGCGGCCAGGTCCCTGGGTGCAGGTCTCGGCTACTAAGGTGAGGTACGAGCCTCCCTTGAGACCAGGAGCTGAACACCACCCTGGGCAATGTGGAGAAACTTTGCCTCAACACAAAACAAAACCAATAAACAATAGGCAAAGTGGGGTCTATGCATCCTTATGTTAGCGTCCCCGTTCTCCCGACAGCGCTGCGTATAAACACTCACACAGAGTGAGGTCAGAGGCTTGTTGTAACTCTTACAGTGTAAATCCCAGAACATCATAGATTACGTGGCTCCATTTTGGGTGAGGAAAAGCAGGAGTTGTGAGTGTGACACTACTGTTCACCTCATGAGCACGCAGAGACTGCTCTCCACGGACAGACAGCGTGTTCACCACGCTGGAAGAGTACGCGCCTAGCTGCTCTGGGATGTTTCCTAGGGGGTCAAGGTGTGGAGAGCGGCTGTTCGTTCATCTCTGTCCTGCAGGAGTCTTTGTGAAGAAAGGGGACTGCAGGGACCGCGAGGAGGAAGGAAAGGGTGGGTGGTGGGTACTGGGCTCCAGGCGCCCTCTTGGCTCCGGAGTCTGTGGAGCACGCGATCCTGCAGCTCTGCGCCCGAGGCAGCAGCTCTCCCCAGCAGGGCACACTGCGAGGGAGGGATGCCCTGAACGGCCTCCCTGGCGGAGACCAAAGCAATCCTGTACTCGGGCAGAAGAAGGGACTGAGAAGCAGCCATCACTCAGTACACTTTCAGGCACTGCTAATGCCCTGTGCCACGTGTGTGCCTTCTATGGTGTTCTAGGCCCGGGGAAGAATCTGAACGTAGCTCGCCCGGTCCTGAGCCTGGTCATTCAAGCAGCTGCCTGTGACATGACCAACGCCGTCGCCTCTCCCCTTCCTGGTGCAAGCGGACAGGAACTGCGGGCACGGGGAGCAGGAGAAAAAGTCGATACTTTACATTTGCCAAAATCAAGTTATGTTTAAATTCCTGAGGCAGAGGGTTACTTAATTGTGGTTCATTACACGAATGAAGTAGGGGCACATCGGGAATAGCACTGTGGACTCCCCTTCCCCTGCGGCCCGTGGCGGCTGAGGACAGGGCCTGCTGGGCCTGGGGACCGGCACTCACACACTGTGCGCGTCCTGAGGTGCACTGTCCTCACCCGGGCAGAGCAATCACGCTACCAACAGGTGCTCCCACCGACAGGCGCTCCGCCACCAACGCCCCCAGACAGGCAGTGTGGTGGGTGGGCGGGTAGCCAGCCAGCAGTGTCTCTCCCCCTCCACCAAGGGCCGTCCGCACACCCTGCTGCGTCCGTGGCATCTCGGGAGGCATCTCTCCACCCTCCGGGGGTTGTCCTGTACACTACACCACGTCCAGAGGCATCCCTGGGCTTTGCCCCTCCGTGCCAGAGCCCCTCCTCCCTCCCCACCCCTCCCTCCATCCCCACGCAGACACAGGCGTGCACACGGGGAAACAACCAAGGTCTCCAGGCACCACCACATGTCCCTGGCGAGGAGGAACCTCCCTGTGTGAGAACCAGTGCCTTGAAAGAGAGACAATTAGATACATTAGCTGTATCTGTCAAGTTTTGTTAAGACAGCAACAATTCACATGTCCCTATCCCTTAGGGAGTATTAAGATCAGCTCTATCAAATCACAGTGAGGGGGAGTTCTCAAGATGGCGACGGGGCAGTAGGGAAACGCCACAGCTCTCTCCAACCAAAAAGAGAGTTCGAGTTCCAACCTTTAATCTCCCCAAGAGACCGACAACAACAAAAAGACGAACACTCAGAGAAAAACCAGAGGTGGAAAATAACAAAAAAAGAAAGAGAGGAAAAGAAGAATTTCAGAACAGAGAAGAGCGAAGACCCCTCCCCCAACCTTTACTGGCCGCGCGGCAGTGCGCCAAGCCGCCGCCAGCCGGCCCGGCGGGGGCTGCCGGAGCCACAGAGACACAGGGGGCTGCTTGCAGATCACCAGGTACCGGATTGCAGAACAGCGGATCGCCAGGAACAGAGAAACCTACCAGCCGGGAGTCTCCAGGAGGATCCCACCCCACCCATCACTCTCCACCGGAGCGGAGAGGCTCCATCCCGCCAAAGCCGCCCGGCACCAGCAGCGCCACAAAGGGACCTGTCTGCAGACCACCTGCCCAATCGCGATCGCAACGACCCGGCGGGGGGCCGCCCAACCCAGCCCGCAACCACCCCAACTGAACTCGGACTGCAACAACAACTGACGGACTGCAACAACAACTGACGACCTACAGGGTGAGTACCCATCAGGGGACAGGGAATCCATCAAGGGAGACCAGAGCTGGAGGGAATCCCCAGACCCTGACCTAGACTCCCTACCCCAACACCCGGACCACAGGACCCACTAAAACTGGGAACTGTTCGAGAGCTCCACCAGCCGGTAGAGCACACTCTGCTGGCCAGGCCAGAGCAAGAGCGCCCCTGGAAGGGAGCTTAAATGCTCAAGCCAGGAACAGTGCCCCTGGGTCAAGACTACCAACAGTAGAAGAAATTTGAACTGTGTCCTCCAGGCTGCATAACCAAGGTGGTATACACATTAGCACAGGCCTAACGAGCGCGCTCCAGGCTGGGGCCGGAACCAGGCCAGGGGACCGGCGCCTGAACAAAGCAAAAAGGGTCAGAAGTGGGGCTGTGGCTCAAATGGTAGGGTGCCAGCCCTGAGCTGAAGAGCTGAGGGACAGCACCCAAACCTAGAGTTCAAGCCCACAACCAGCCCAAAACAAACAAACAAAAACACATCAGGAGCCCATAGCAGACTCCAGTATTTGGGAGAGTGCATCCAGAGCATCTGATCTTCCCAAGAGCACCCGCAAGAGCAAACACAAGCAGTCTAGGCTGCTCAACCCTTCCAAAGGCGGGAATTGCTACAGCAGAGAGCTGAGAATCCTAAGTGAATAGCAGC